CGAAAATAACTCGTGTCCAGTCTTCTCGTACCTGCATCTCAACACCGGCCACGAGCATACTGGTCAGCGGATAACCCAAGATGACGAATATTTGTCAGGGTTTGTAAAAACGATGGCGGCACAACATAAAACTACTTTAACAATACTTCTCTCCGATCACGGTAGCAAGACTACGGATTATGCCATCAGAACGGTCCACGGTTTAAAGGAAATCTATAAACCGTTCATGTTTATGATAGTACCTCGTCAGGCCGCAAAGGTACTTGGGAATGAGCGAATGGGGAATCTGATTAGGAACCAAAAACGACTCGTGGCTTTAGAAGACCTGAATCTCGCTTTGGATGACGTAGTGAGGGGTTTTGGCGAGGGTAAAGAAGAAAATATTGCTGGGAATATTAGGAATGGTGCGGAGGTCAACGAAGATGATAAAATGGATTTTGGAAATGCTGCGGGAAGCAAAAATGGCAACGGGCTTTTTGGTAATATTTCCGCCAATAGAAATTGTTCTGAATTACAGTTATCAGCCGATGCAGTGTGTTTGTGCGAAGGTGAAGACGTCGATGCAATTATGGATTCGTTTTTTCTGGATTTTTTAGCGAGCATTGCTGTTGGTGGTCTCAACAATAGGATACAGTCTCAATATACCAGTGAGGCATTGAATAACGACAATATAAACAACGAAATGGCGCTTTCCAAAAATGTTGATAAAGAAACAAAAGGCAAAAATGGAATGCCAGAGGATGTAGAAGATGCCAATGTTCTCCCGAATAAAAAGCAAAGGTTAGGGGGATATGGGAATTGTCTTCGCTATATTCTGAAACGAGTGGAACGGCTTAGAAGAAAAGTAATCGGTGAAGAACGAATAACTACATTTAATGTTGTTGTAAACACCGTCCCAGCCATTGATAAGAGGGACGAAATATTTGAAATGACACTCGGGCATCATTTGACAAACAAAAACGGTATAAAGCTACTAAAGGTTACGAGATTAAGTCGGTATAGTCTATTCAAATCGTGCGCCGATGCTAAAGTCCACCTTGATCTATGCACGTGCGATAACAATTCTCAAACAGACCCTAAAAATTACATGTGGGAATTATTGGGACACTATATGTTCGCACAACCTTCAAATATCGATAAACTTGAATTCCCGTGTTTGTATTTGATAACAACAAGACGGCAAAGATTTCTTAAATCGGGCAACGGACGGGATGCAGTTTTGGCCTACGAAATAATCAGCGCTTGCGACAAAATATTTAATGTTACGCTATCAGATACTAGTTTAGTAAGGCAGCCGTTCATTCTATCGAGAGCATTGCCGTTTAGTTTAATGGTATATCCTAATGCAGCACATCACGTGATTAGCGCATTTTGTGGTCTCCCGGATGGAGAATTTGTAGCCAGTTTTAAAATTCATATGTTGTAGACGCGTAAAACGCTCAAGATAAGTGTTCCAACATGCCCATATCACTGAGCTGGGACCATTGGTCCCAGAAAATTTTTCCCCAAGAAAGAAACAAAAGATAATTGTAATAATTTAGATAAAAGGAGAAATTCAGAGAAACATTCTAACCAATAGAAAGAATGTTACCTGCATTGTGGTATGACCTCAGAAAAGGAATTATAAGTGCGATAGTGTATGTGTTAGACTATAGAATGATGTAATGTAACAAATGTTGTATTGCAAATGCACTTTTAGTCAATCTGGGACACTTGATTTTCAAAATTTTCTGGGAGAGCGTACGGAGCCCCTAGCCTGTGTACAGCCGTTACTCTGGGTCCCCCTGATAGTGCCCTATAGTAGTGTCCATTTTTGCCATTTGTATTTACCTTAGGTTCAGACCTTTGATGCACGTTATCTAAATTAGTTTTATGTTATATTCCTAAAAGTATTATTATAACATTGCACTGAAATACATCTTTAAAATGTAACATGACATCCAGTGTAAACGCCGACGCTGAAAGATCAGTGTGTCCCTGCAGCTTTTTGTAGCGCGTATTCAGTGCCAATTTGAAATCTCAGAGGTGTCGAGGTCATAAACTATTGTAGTAACTAATTTAGATGGGTTCCGGTTTTTTTTGTTTTTTTTTTGGGGGGCACACTGTGGCCCTGTATCTCGTTTACACATGACGTCACAGCCGCCATGTTGGTGTTCCAATTCAAAAGAATTTGAATTAGACTCTTTTGTCAGGAACACCAACATGGCCGCCATGGCTTTTGTCGAGTTGGTCCCTGGGGAATGAGTGCAACCGCTCTATATTTCAATGTTAGAGAGGTTAAGATACCCCGGTTCCAGTTTACGGGTACGAGTATCGCCATTTTGTTTACCAACTTTTGCTGATGTCAGCATTTTTACCCGTAATTTCTACCCTTTTCCCCGCGGTAAACAACGGTCTACACGTAAAAGACAAACGGGTACGGGTGTTTTCTGTTTACTATTTGTGGGCCGTTTAAATGGTAAAAATTTTCAACAGTCTTATACCCAAATAAATAATGCACATATGCTCGTCAAAGTTTTCAACAATTTATGGCGAACCTCAACAGCGAAAGTGTTACCATTCTCTGATCGGTTTTCTTACGCCGGAGTATCTTGCATTTCTTAAGTTACACGTTATTCTCCGATTTACGGGTACATGTATATTACCCCTACCCGCGTAAACCGGAACCGAGGTATCTTAACCTCTCTAATGATTTAACTTTCGATGTGTGAAAATGTGAGAATTTTACGCGTGTGTATAGACGGTGATAAGGAAATGTTTATTAACACAAAACTATAATATATATATCTACAAATGAACTGAAAGCAATATTTACAGAAACTACACTTAAATACAATAAGCAAGTGACTGTTCTGCCCACGCATTCAGGGTCCGCGTCATCCAAAGTTATATATATATATAATTGGTAGTTTACAATGACGCTACGACGGGCAGTAGTTGCCTGGACAACACAAGAGGCCGATTACCTGAGTCGAGTTGGGAAATTTTACCGATACCGCGGGTTCTATATGGTAAATATTATTAAAAGCAATAATGCGATTACAGAGGGAACGGGTCAACCGTCGCCCAGCCGGGACCTCACTTGTTGACAACCCGGTCACCTAAGGCCTGTTTTATTCGTCGAATTTCGGTCGCGTCGAATGCAATTCAAACAATAGATAATGAAGCTTAATGAGGTTTCTCATCTCATCATCTGTTGTTGAGCATTGGCCGTTTACTGCTCTATTCTATCTCATCTGGTTCCGAAGTTATACGCAAAAATGTGCAAAATATAAATTGCTGATTCAGCACAACGTGTGACGTCATTGGTAGGGTAAGTATGTTTAATGAATACTAAACTGAAGCATAGCTCAGTTATTATGTGCCCAAATCAAATGAAATTTTGGATACTGATTGTACATGATGAGACGCATTGAAAAACAATTTTGTTGCCAAGGTAACAATGTCGTTCCCAGGCCCCTTGCGCCAATTTTATAAAACAGCTTTATTCATGGTACTTATAAGAATAAAATAATGTCAGAAGTATGTGTACCATACCTATGCATGCCAAAAGTTTACTTGCATGATAATAATTCGAAAATGACATACACATAGATAAATGCAACTAGTTATTCAAAATCAGTGTAAGGGGCCTGGGAACGACTGCGTTGCCTTGACAACAAAATTAGAAGTATTTTCTCATGCGTCTCATCATGTACTATCTGTACGCAAAATGTCATTTGATTTGAGCCAATAATAACTGAGCTATGCTTCGTTTACTATTCATTAAACATACTTACCCTACCAATGACGTCACACGTTGTGCTGAATCAGCAATTTATATTTTGCACATTTTTGCGTATAACTTCGGAACAAGATGAGATAGAATAGAGCAGTAAACGGCCAATCGGCTTATTTTTTCATGCTCTTTCAGATAAAGCAATAAAATTTTTTATTGCCATTACCCTTTAACTTTGAAAATGTAAACAAATATAAGTGACTTGGGCCCCAGTTACACGATACCGGACTCTCTTCGCAGCGACATCAACAACTAAGACTCTTTTCGGCCTTACAACTTTTCATATTTGACGTTTTTGACTAATTCTGTTATATTATCATACCTGTACTTGTGAGTGTAAACTGTAACATTTGATGTCGCTCCGATGCGAATCCGGTATCGTGTAACTGGAGCCTTAAACTAGCATCAGAATGTTGTTTTTGTGTTTCAATAAACGCTTTCATGTTTAGGACAGTGAAGCGACTGCATTTCACGAGAATACAAGCGAAAAATCTTGTTGGGGACAATACTAAATATAATTATACTGCAATGCGTGAGGGAGCCCTAAAATACACCATATAAATCATCTTTAATCAATACCTAACAATGATTATTATACTGTTGAGCATGTCCAATGTTAGGTGCTGTTTACATGAATCCCGGATTGACTTTCAATCCGGATCGAAATGTCAAGTCAATCCGTGTTTACATGGAAAATGGGTTCGAGCATTGGAATTTACGCGGGAAATTTCAATTCCAAGATGGCGAATGATGTAAATATCATAGCAGTAGTTTTCTCTTCTGCTCTTTCCGCGCTAATACATTTAAACACGTGCATGAACTTACTGTGCAAAAAGTCATTTTAAGAAAGAGAAAAGTAACCATGTTATCTTATTCGGTCGCTTTCTCATTCCGGAATGAGTTTCGATTCGTGTTTACATGGGATCGAAGCCAAATTTCGATCTGGATTGAAATCTCGATTCGGAATGAGATTAGGATCGAACTCGATCCGGATCGAGTTGTAACTCATTCTACCCTGGATTCCAGAGCTTTCGACAGTAAATAATTGAAACGTCGCGAAGGCTCTGGTCCAACGGGAAAATTCTTTGATTAAACAGCGCCAATCACAAAACAGAATTAGTGGTTTTATTACAGATTCTGTACTAAAACCACTAATTCTGTTTTGTGATTGACGCGGTTTAATCACTGAAGAATCTTCCCGTTGAACCAGAGCCTTCGCGACGTTTCAATTTATTATTTACTGTCGAAGGCTCGGGAATCCAGGGTAAACTCATTCCGGACTCATGTAAACATTTAATATGGTTTGTATTAAAATAGAATGAGTTCATTCCGGATTGAAAGTCAATCCGGATTTATGTAAACAGCACCTTAATCAAGCCTGGTTTCCATAAAAGAAAAAAAGTCTTGTCGCGACACGCTGGCAACAGTTCACGACAGTTACAACAGTGTCGTTGAGGTAGACTCGAGTTCTTTTGCGACGACAGTTGCGACAAGCTAAAAACGTGTCGTGATTGTTATTTTTTAATGGAACAGAAAAACTATAGCGTGGCAATTAACAGTTTGTCTTTTTAAAACTGCCGCCAGCTGCCTGTACGATCACTGGGTACAGGCGTAAAAATTGAAAAAAGCAACAACTTGTTCCAGGTTGATATTAACAGGCGTGAACAAGGTTGTGCGGCCCACCATGAACAGTATTGTCAACATGTTGTTACAGCGTTGTTCAACTGTAACAACTTGGAATAACATGGTTGACAACTTGTTCATAGTTGGCCGCACAATATTGTTCAAGCCTGTCCATATCAACTTGGAACAACCTGTGCGTTTTTAGCCGTGTAGCTGGGCCACAGTTTAAGTATATACCAGATGTGTAACTTAATAGAACTTCATGTCCTGAAACTTCCCTAGATGTACACGTCATGCTCACGCCATGACACTTGCTAGCTAAATGGCGTCTTGAAAAACACGAACTTTTACATTTTATTGCGGCTTTTTTGGATCGAAATTTATGGATTAAACAATCAAGAGCATCATTTGTTGAATGTTTAAAGTTGTTGAAAGCAAATGAAGTTGCAGAAAAGATGTTGAAAGCATTTTTGAAAGCAATTACGCGTATGACCAAATGACGAATTATCACGCGAGCGACACTTGCTAGGAAGATGGCGACCATGGAACAACTTTTTTACTGAAGTTACACATCTGTTCTTACTTAATCTATGGCTGGGCCAACTTAGCAGGCCGGAACAACCCGCTCCATATAATCGGCCTCTGAAAACGTCAAATACTATCCCACAACTAAAACCTCGATTCTCTCCTACTATCGTATATATTGAACTTCGACCCTTGTGTTGATTCAATTGCAAGTATCTTTGGGCACCGTTTTCAAGAGAGTTTCACAAGAAAGCAACTTTTTCCGCAAATCTTGACTTTCTTCTTCCATTAGTTTTCGTTTGTTGCTTGCGCTTACCTTCTGTCGTCTGACGTTGTAAAGTTCCGCATTTAATTTCTCAACTTCGCGTTTCTTCCGGCCAATTTCGCGCATAAGACTTTTCTCTTTTTCTCGACATGTTACTTGCTTTCCGTCTATTTCTGAAAAATTAAAATTTAATTTTTACATTTGCCCGCAGTTAGATATGCGAGCTTTGTTATAGGTTGCAAACACTTATGTTTTTATCATTCACTTTATAGTATTCTCGATTTTGATTGGTCAATTTACCTGCAAACAACTGTGTGCAAATATCGATCAGGCGCAAATAACTGGTGCAAATACTTCATTGAGCATGCGCACTTTGAAAATGATTCGTCAGCTTAAATTCTGCATCAGCCTTCGGCATCGGCAAATAATTGATCTGCTCGCCACTGATAGATCACGATATTTTACTCAACCTCGTCCAATAATTGCATATTATTGTAATTAATTTATATAATTATAATTTGTAATTGTAATAATTTAGATAAATTAAGAAACAGCCCTTTTTTTGGCATCTGTATTTACCCATAGCCTAGCGAAAGGAAGATGGTTGTGAAGCTCGTTAGAATAACAATATAGCTCATCATCTATGTTAGTCAACGTTTATCAATCTGGTCCTTCAATTGCTTACTCATCAATCTGGTCCTTTAATTGCTTTCAACAACTGCTCTTGATTGTGTAATCCATAAATTTCGATCCAAAAAAGCCGCAATATTGTTATTCTAACGAATTTCACAGCCACATTCCCTTCGACAGACAATGATTCATGTTATCTAAATTAGTTTTATGTCATATTCCTAAAAGTATTATATTACGATTCACAGTGCATGCACTGAAATAACACACTCTGTTAAAAAATAGCACATTCGTCCGAACTAATAGCCAGTGCAATAGTGTATAAATCTATAGACTATAGAATGATTATGTACTAACAAATATTGTATGGCAAATGCATTTTTAGCCAATCTATAGGACATGATTTTCAAAATTTTCTGGCAGAGCATGGATCCCTCTGGTGGTGTCCTTTTTTGGCATCTGTATTTACCCACCTTACGATCATGTCAATATATGGATCAGACCCCTCGATGCATGTTATCGAAATTAGTTTTATGTTATATTCCTACAAGTATTATTAAGATTTTCAGTGCACTGAAATAGATTTTTCTGTTAAAATATAACAGTCAATCTGACAACTAGTTAGTGTCACACATGGAGTCCGTGTGTCGATTTACTAAATGATTATTTGCAGAAAATGTTTCAATGAACCTCTTGTGGTCCCACAAAGTAAAATATTTTTTTCACCCATGATCGCGAGATCTCACTTATAGACGACTTACCATTCATTGAACTTCCAAGTGTTTGCATACGACTTAAGTGTCCCTCTTTGGTCCTGGCTATGACGTCCGCAAGATTTGGCAACACACCAGCTTCTTTCATCACATCGAACAATTTCACTTCAGAATCTGAAACACAATTATACTTTTTAAAGTTTGTTCGTTCACTGCAACCAGGTACATATATCAATCATGTTTCGCTCGCTACTCTGGTTTAAATAAATTATTACAAAGCCCAGTCGAATTGTAATCAAGACCCAACACTCCAGTCTAGTGTCTTCATCAGGGGTGATCTAAAATTGCAATCGTGGCTTCTTAAATACCCAAGGGATGACGTCACCTGCCAATGAGATGCATATATTCCTCTGGCAAATAGGCAACGTCATCCCTATTCAAAGCATGATTACTCATATTTATATGCCACGCTTCTAGGCAAAGTCTTTGATCATAGCGATTGTTTGTGGTAATTACTTTAGAGTTTTCCCATGCAATCTCGTGTTTGGTGTAACATACATGTTCGGCTAAAGCTGATTTTCCCTTGTCTAAAGTTGAAACAGCTTTTTGATGTTCTTTTAGCCGTGTACCAAACTGGCGTTTAGACTGACCCAAATACTCTTTTTCGCAGTCACCGCATGGTATAGAATATACAGCATGAGTTTTCTGATTTGTTTTAACAGGATCTTTTGGCTTTGCTGTTTAACACCGAACACTTTATAATATAATAGCTTTGTTTGTGGAAACACCACGTAAATTTATTACTGCAAAGCTTTCGATCCCAACAGGCTATTGCACACTTGATAGGAAATTCGAGGTACCTATACGATTTTAACGTCCATATCCGAGAAAACACGAAAGTCTAACCATTTACTGATGTCAATGGTTGCTCTTTCCCCCCAATCACCTCGAGTAGAGGCAATGCTTGTTCCAAGTTGTTGTGACAAGTCTGGAACAAGTTGTTATCACCTTGTTACAAGGTTGATGACGGTAACATTCATGCTACAAGTTGTTCCCAAGGTCGGATTTTGGTGGAAATAGTGGGGGAGGTGCAGCGGTCTAGCTCACGACCCCCATGAAATGTATGTATGTATGTATCAGTGTCTTAATGAATTAACAACTCATCCAATTTTGCCTTTCACTACAATCACTACAAAGTTTCTTTCAAAACATTGCATTAAAAGGGTACTTGAGTCTTGACACTGTTTCGTTTTTACAGAAAAACTTTCTTACGAAGTGTAGACCCTAAGCAACAAAAAATGTCACATTTTCACTTTGATCCATCATTGAAACTTTCCCAAGGGGAGGTGCATGACTTTTCTGGGGAGGTGCAAAAATTCTCAGGAGAGGTGCAAAACGATCTTGGGGGAGGCCCTAAGAGGTGCGCACCTCCTCAAATCTCCCCTCAAAATCCAGCCATGGTTCCAACAAGACTAATACAGGCTGTACGTGGCAAGTTGCTACGGGCTTGTTGTCATCAATTGCTATTTAAAAGCTTTTTTGTACTTATGCATAAAAAAACGCAAACAGACCAGTTAACTTAAGGTTCAAATTTCTGGACGAACCTCCCTTATCTTGATCTTTCTCGCGAGCAGCAATTGAGATAGTGTTATCATTCTCATCCTGTCAAAGAGAAAGCTTGCGTTAGATGGTAGTGAATGATGTGATAAACATGAAGACACAATACTCATTGTTTTCAAAGGGTTTCGTAGCTGGAAATTTTGGAGAATAAATTTTATATATTTATTTAGACCTAACTAGGAGCAGTTGCAAAAAATGCAACTTTAGGTTCCTAGCAGGAATCAAACCTGCGGCCCTGCAATTCTGGTGCAGCTGTCTAACCAACTGAGCTACAGAGTCCAGTTGTCGAGCTCTGACCACACGTTCATATGAACCTGTGGCCCTGCGATTCCGGTGCAGCTGAGCACTCTAACCAACTGAGCTACAGAGTCCAGTTGTCGAGCTCTGACCACAAGTTCATATGAACCTGTGGCCCTGCGATTCCGGTGCAGCACTCTAACCAACTGAGCTACAGAGGCCAGTTGTCGAGCTCTGCGATTCCGGTGCAGCGCTCTAACCAACTGAGCTACAGAAGCCAGTTGTCGAGCTCTGCAATTCCAGTGCAGCACTCTAACCAACTGAGCTACAGAGGCCAGTTGTTGAGCTCTGCGATTCCACTGCAGCACTCTAACCAACTGAGCTACAACCGCAAGTTCATCAAGCTCTAACCACAAGTTCATGTAATCCTGCAGCTCTGCGATTCCGGTGCAGCACTCTAAACCAACTGAGCTACAAAGGCGCATTGTCGAGCTCAAACCACAAGTTCATGCGATCCTGCGGCCCTGCAATTCCGGTGCAGCACTCTAACTAACTGAGCTACAGAGGCAAGTTGTCGAGCTCCAACCACAAGTTCCTGTGAACCTGCAGCCCTGTGATTCCGATGCAGCACTCTAAACCAACTGAGCTACAAAAACCAGTTGTCGAGTTCTAACCACAAGTTCATTGTGAACCTGTGACACTGCGATTCCAGTGCAGCGCTCTAACCAACTGAGCTACAGAGGCCAGTTATTGAGCGCTAACCACAAGTTTATGTGAACCTGCGGCCCTGCGACTCTGGTGCAGCGCTCTAACCAACTGAGCTACAGAGGTCAGTTGTTGAGCTCTATCCACAAGTTCATGTAAACCTATGGCCCTGTGATTCCGGTGCAGCACTCTAGCAAACTAAGCTACAGAGGCCAGTTGGCAAGCTCATAACCACAAGTTCATGTGAACCTGCAGCCCTGCAATTCTGGTGCAGCGCTCTAACCGAGTTACAGAGGCCAGTTGTTGAGCTCTAACCACAAGTTCATGTGAAGCTGTGGCCCTGTGATTCCAGTGCAGCACTCTAACCAACTGAGCTACAGAGGCCAGTTGCCGAACTCTAACCACAAGTTTGTGTACTGTATACTGTTGACTGAAACGTGACGAGTGTGTGAAACTGAGGGGATAATACCCCTTTCCAAACTATGCTTACCTCACAACATGTGCACATCCCAAAGTCACCATCATCATCATGCTTCACTTGTGGTGTGGTTGATTGTTTTGATGTAGGTGATGTTTCTAATGAAACAGCTGATTTTTCTGATGCTTTTGGCTTTTCTGATACAGTTGGTATGGGATCAGTATCACTGACGTTGTGTAATATCACTGAAGAAATCTGACTTGACTGGCTGGATGTCTCTTCATCCTTTAAATATAGTAAGTAACCAAAGTAAATATCTATATATGTCCATCCTTAACCCATTAAACTGCAGAGCTTCCCCATTGACGAGTAAAATCGTCTGGCGTTAGACAATTAAAAAAAGTAGGTTGCACTGCGGTGCATTGCAGCTCAATGGCTTAACTATAGATACATTGTCAGATTTTTTGGTTAACGCACTAAGCTGAAGAGCTTCCCCATTGATGAGTAAAATCGTCTGGCATTAGACAAGTAAAAAAATAAGTAGGAGTATTATCATATTTTCTTTTATTATTATCATATTGTGTACACTCAGAAACATATTACACGTATTGCAACATTGTAATAATTTCATAGAGTTGACAATAATCACAATATGATTTTTTAAATATCACCCAATCCTAGGGCGCAATGCAACTCTCCCCTTGACAAGTAAAATTGTCTGGTTTTGAATAAAGAACAGAATATAGAATGTGTATGGTGCAAAACCAGATTTCAGTAAACTGTGGGGATGCTGCAAAATTTCAGACACTGCATCACATGCCATTAATCTGATTAATTGACAAATCAAGTCACCAGTTCCAAAAATTGCCACTCGAGTCCAAGTCCCATGGCTCGAGCCTACAACCCTTCTGCAACCATCATCAATTATTATTACAATAATTTAACCCATTAAAGGGGTACCGGTAGTGTCAATTGGCACAGACTGGCTAAAATAAACGGCTCAAAGAAACATTTAAAATTAATGCTACATAATTGGAAAAGATGCAGCAGCCTTCAATTTTTAAAACAAAGCAAGGATGTCCTGCATAACGAAGGGATTATAAATAGCATATCGTATTTCACTCCGAACTTGATTAATTGTTGGCAGACAGTTTTCAAGTTCGCACATATTTTGGATGTGCAGACAGAACTGTGACACTGCCCCTTTAAGCTGCAAAGCTTCCCCATTATAGAGTAAATTACATGGCCTGGCGTTAGACAAGTGAAAAAGAAGTAGGGACTGGCCGGGGTGCATTGCAGCTCAACGGGTTAATCTGCAACTACTTTTTTAGTTGTCTAACCCCAGATGATGTTACTCGTCAATGGGGAAGCTCTGCAGCTTAACGGGTTAACCAAAAAATCTGACAATGTCTCTAGTTAATTACTCATCGAGCCTCAACGCACCCTACTTTTTTTTAGTTGTCTAACGCCAGACGATTTTACTCGTCAATGGGGAAGCTCTGCAGCTTAATGGGTTAAATAATATATTTATACCTCTGTTGTTACCACATCAATATTCCCCACTTCTCCAGCTTCGTTTGACTTGGTACTCTTCTCCGACTCCTTGGTCGGACTGCTTAGCTGTTGAGACCCCAATGACTTATTCAAATGATGTGTTTCTTCCCGACAAAACATACTCAAAGACGACATGGTGCTGTAGTATGTGGATCTTCGCTCGGACCTACGTTTTCTTGATTGCTCGTTTCGTAAACTATTTCGATACTCTGTTTCTGAGGGAAGAACACCATAACCTCTGAGTACCGAACTTTTTAAGAAGTTTGCAATGTGCACTAGACCGTGTCTCTCCGCATTATCGAGAGGTCCTATGTTAAGTTTGTTTACTATCATGCTGTCAGCACCAGCTTCGAGTAATTTCTCTATCACGGTAAGGGATTTGCAACCAGAAGCTAGCAAATTGATAACCGTATCACCAGAGACATTTTGAGCATTGATGCACATGCGTTGCTTGACAAAAGGCATCTTCTTAATTTCTGCCAGCATGGTGATGAAAAGATTTTCATATAACGTATAACATTTGTTTTGCACCATGAACTGCGCAGCAACATGTAGCGGCGTGTCCTGACGATGGTCACCCATGGCAAGACAATCTCTGAAGTGAGGTAGGAGCGTTTCGAATCTCAGCACGCTTAAACGGCCACTTTTCGTGGAAGATATATCTGGTAGTGTCATGAGTGCTCTATGCAAGCAGGTCTCCAGAGTGTCCTTCGTTTGAACTGTGGGGCTAAAACCTGAAAGCAGATTTAATTAGAGATTAATATAAAAACTTCAGATTGATAGGGATAGAGTTTGTCAGTTAACCGAGTCAAATCCGAGTCTGAGTCAAATCCGAGCCCAAGTCAAATGTCCGAGTCATTGTTTAATCGATGGTCTTTGCAGTTCAATGACTTAGTACCCTAATCCTAACCATAATCCCACTCCTAACTTACCCTAACCCTATGCAACTGTGAATTTTATTCAATTTCGGAGTTTGTCGGTTGCTGACCGACTCAAATCCGAGTTCGGGTCAAATGTCCGAGTCACTGTTTAACTGTCTTTGTTGGTAAAATGACTAATTAGTACCCTAAACCTAAACCCACTCCTAACCCTATTCGACTGTGAAATTTCTTCACTTTCGTCTTTTTTTACGCGACTCGGGCATTTGACTCGGGCTCGGGACTGACTCGGATTTAACTCAGTAAATGGATTTATACTCTAGCAAAGGCCCTACATGTACAAGTTAGGCCGGGGGTGGGAAAAATAAGAAACACACGAGCACTGCTCACAGGAAATATTAAACAGCTGCAGGAAATTTGTTTGAACGAAGTTTGCTATTGAAAATTTGAAGGAAACCAAAACACCATGGATGTCCCACTATGGGTGCAACAACATATGGTCGACAGACATTATTCCTTGAATTTAAAACCATGGTCAGCTGGAACACAAAATGTTTATGCACACACAGATTTAGCACAAAAATACTCTGTTGGTATGCAGAAAATTTTTGTCTTCAGGCTCTGGGAAGAAAATTCTTCTGCCCTTCAAAGGTCAACTAACTTTTTGACGAAGCACATTGCTCGAAACGTCTAACTTTTCCTTGTATTTTTCAGCTATTTGAATCCCTAGCAATTCAAAGCTTTCTTATTATTGGCATTACTGTACCTACACAGCCACAGATCATTTTAGATTTATTTTATATATAATATGTACTAAAACAAGACAAACTATATCCAGGCTTTTCAACTTGGAAATTCATGTACAGAAAATTGAGTGAATGATATGGGTCATTACATCTCCCATGGAGGAAATAATTGGAATTGAACCCCCCTACCTCCTTCAGATGCCCTAATACTCTTACTATTATCAGAAACATGGGCAAATTTATTGGGGGGGGGGGGTTAAACCCCCCTTAGAATCTCTCTAAACCCTTTGATAAAGTGTATAATGTATTCAACATACCCCACCAAAATTTCGCTCAATGGTGCCGCTTGCACTCACTAGAAATGTTCCCACCCCTCCCTTTAAAAAAAATGAAAATCCACCCTTAATGAGAAACAATTTTTTCTTGACCCCCCCCCCCTCGGGATGTTAGAGATCTGCGGGGGAAGTGTAGATCTTTTCCGAAAATACTCAATATTAGGGATGAGCCGATTAATCTGCCTAGCCGATTAATCGGCCAATTTTTAATAATCGGTAATCATTTGCCGATTATTGACCAGTTTCTATTTTCTACTAGAAATAAATGAAAATCTGTGTATTCATTGCATTTTTTGCATATGTTTGACAATTTTTCACGTTATTGAGCGGCATGCAGCTGCTACACAAATACGTACAAATAAGATCTTGCATTTATCTCACCTCTTCATCGCAAATGCAATTAATATAAGTACGAAAATTAACACTTATACATGTAACTCCCAAGACCGGAAAACATTGTGTGCGCACAGAAGAACATTACATGAGACAAAAGAGAATGTCATGAAAACTTTTCAATTTGTATCCAGCTTTAGAAGGAAGGAAGAAGTGCTTTGCTACATTAGCTTCTCAAGTTTCATTTCAATGCTTAAAAGCATCTGAGGTTCATCAGGACAACTAACGCCTACTGGTAAATGTGTTAATGGAAATAATCGGCTTTGGCCGATTAATCGGCCGATTATTTGGTATTATCGGCCACCGATTAATCGAATCGGCAATTTCAGTGATCGGCTCATCCCTACTCAATATGCTGTGCATACAATTTGGAATAATGTTTTTTGCACTTCATATGGTTGAACTAGAATGCTTGGTTTGGTGGATAATCCAAGTGAGCATATATATACATATATATTATATTTAGACCTATAACCAGGAACGGCTGCAAAAATTCGAGCAGCGAACTCAATGTTTCTGGATCAATGTTTCATGTTTGATTGTTATAAATATATGGATATTTCAGAATCAGGGTTAGACTGGTTCCTGACCGACCCTATTTGTTTCTGCCAACCCTATTATTTTTTTCAATGCGATTGACTGTGCGACCCTATTTTCTCCGGGTGGTTGCGGGCTGCTGCCAAAATGCCGTCTGTTGTCACACTAATTATTGAAAAAACCATGAAAAAAAAATTTTATTTCCGACCTACCAACCCTAATTTTTTCGCGAGATGAAACCGGAACCACAGGTATTTTTTTTAGGCCTTGTCTGAAGGATTTTGAGGTAAACAGAAAAGGGTAACAGTTCAGCTCTGCTGTAGGATGCATACACGATCGTACTTGCCTGAAATTTGTGGTGTGCGCAAAGCTAATTCTAGCGTATGATCGTACGTCCGTATGCCTATTTTTTAAGCCCTAGGTGCTGTTCGGTGTCGGTTTCAGTATTTTCAAAAAACAAACAATTCAAAGCATTTGCTCAATAAATTGTGATATAACATCAAAATAAACAACTTATAACAAGTTAAATGAAATAGGAACATCTCAGCAAGCGTTTTGCAAGGAATTCCTCAGTGGTCGAATGGCTAAGGTGCTCGCCCCAAATGCACTATAGCTGGGTTCAAACCCGAGAGTTGAATTTCAAGCATATATTTTTATGATTTTTTCCCTGCACACAAGTGGCCAGAACAGAAAAAGGAGGATCATAACAGGTTAGGATTGCGATATAAGGGTTGCGGAAAAATTTATTGTCTAAAAAACCCAAACGTTGTGTGTATGTGTGCGTAATATCGGTTTGGATTATTAACCCATTGAGTGTCAGTACTCTCCATAGACGAGCAAATTGTCTGGCGTTAAACAGAGTAAAAAAAATGTCAGGCTCATCAGTGCGCATTGCCACTTAAAGGGGTTAATAATCCTTCGTTAATAATTGGGATGACTGCGGATGATCTTGTTGGGTGAATGTATATATTCAGAACAAAGGCAAAATACTGACCATTCTCTAAAAGCCAGCGTACTGTGTGTATTTTTCCCAACACACATGCCCAGTGCAGTAATGGGAACCGAAATTCCTCATTCGCCTCTAAGATCTCGGCGTTAATGTCCCAACCTCTCGACTTGTGTTTACGGATTAAATTTTTGAGAGACTCTTGTTCTGCATCGTCTGCAAACCCGTCATCTCTCGTGTTTAGGAGAGCAACCAGAAGCTCGTGGTGCTTGTAGCCCTTGTCACAAGGACGACAAAACGGCGTGCATCTAACGGACATTTTTATTTTTATAATTCTGCTTCGACTGTTCCAAATTTTACCTCCATATGTTTTGTTTGGCTTTTGCATGTGGAACTACCAGTAGCCTGCGTAGCGGACGGTCAGCCCGCCGCGAACACCCAAAAGGCGGGCGAGGAAATTTACTAAATTGAGAAAAATGTACCAAATTATTGAATTCATTTTGCCCCCAGGGGCAAAAGGGGCAATTTGCCCCGTGCCCCAGGCTTAAGAGGGTCCCCAAAAGGGAGTTTAGGGAGTGGAAGGGGCTCCCAAAAACTCCCAAGAGGGCATTTTGCCCCGGGCCCCCAAAAGCTCTGGGCGGCCCTGGTTGGGACTTGGGCCCGTAGCAAA